TTAAAGTTTCAGGTTTTTAAAATCATATTAATTATAAGATTTAAGAATAAGTCGACTTGAATGTTTGTTTGTTTTTCTATTTAGACGTTGGTAATAATATTGAAACAAGTAAGTTATGAAGCATTTTTAAATTTTTTAAAAGAAAAAAAAAATACTTCTCAGTATATATCTGTTTTCTTCGAGGTAGATTCAGAATTTCAGGTTTTTAAAGTCATATATATTATAATATTAAATTCTTTTTATTTTTAAAAATATGTATATTATTGTTACACTGAGTCGTAGAAAAATAATTAAAGTTTATTTATATATTAATAAGGTAGAAAATTATTAGAGTAGATTAAATAGTTTGATCTATTTAATCAACTTTATAACGTACTACTAGAGTGAAGATTTATTTTGGTTATTTGTTTGTAAAATCTAGTTAGAGTTTATTTAAAGTTCAAATTCTTTAGTTAATCAAGAGAGATCTAATAAAGGTATTAATTACATTAGTTAGTTGAATGTGGCATTTAATATGTATTTTATCGATATTTTAACGTCTAAACATTAAAGTTTTTTTATTGTTTAGATACAGAAGTGAAGAAGCAAATAAGTCAGTGATTTTGCTATTAGATATTTGTTAATAGAAATTTGTTTACTTGTACTGCCACTGGAATTTTAAAATGTCAAGTTCTTTTGCTTTATTTTATACTTTCTTTTAGGGGAATTGGAACATAAACTAAGTATAAATTATGATTAGTTTAGTTTAATAAATAAAGGATTAATTTTAGAAGATTTGAAGTTTACTTTAGTTTATAGTTTTGGTTTAGTTTATAGTTTTGTTTTTAGCTTTAGTTATTTTTTTCTTACTTTAGACAACTTTATGGATGAAATGAGGGGGATGGGTAAAACAATTATTTAGATATGTATATATTTATATTTTAACATTATTTTATTGATTATTTAATATTTATTTAAGTATATATTTGTCTTTAGTGTCTAGTGGAAGTATAGCAGGTAGGGCTGTGTTTTATATTTTATATATTTTGTACGGAGAAATATGTGCAATAGGTGGACAAATTAATTAATAAATATGACACTTTTGAACTGGTTGCATTATTGCCCTATATTTTTTATTAAAATACGAAATGTTGCATGTTTAACCCTTTTTAATTTGCTCTTATTTTTATTTATTTTTTTTAGCATCTTCTGTTTCGAATGAAAATGGTGAGGTTATGCTAATTATTTTTTTTTAAGTAATTGCAAATGTATAATTTTTATTATATTCTTCTATTTGTAACTTTAAATTCCTTTTCATACGATCAATACAAAACTTACCGCTCCCAACACCCGGGATCTCTCTCAGAGAGTTCCTTCAACAAATGGAGAGATAAAAGCGGAATGGATGAGCCCTCCTTCAAATGGAGGGGTCATTCATATCGGGATGTTGGGAGACACCGAAGAAAAAACAGCAACTAAAAGGTTGTAAATGTCTTCTATCAGTGAAGATATGACTTTTTGGTTGCTGCTTTTTCTTTGGTGTTTTTTTTTTTTTTTTTAATTGTAATTTTTTTTTAAATTTTTTATTTTTTTTTATTTTAATTTTGTAATTTTATTTTACATATATATTATGTTGTATATTTGATTTGTTTTGATCTTTTTTAATGAAAATTTTAATTGTTTTCTCACCAATTAAACCTGAACTTCAAAATATAATTGAATTGATTCATTATCCAATTATCATAATATAATGATGCTGCATTCTTTTATTAAAAACAATTATTTGGTAGTTTCATTTATTGAACTCGCTGCTTTTAAAATTTACCAAAACTCAAAGCAATCTATTTAGCTATATAATTAGAATTTATTTATCTCGATTCGATTCTTTATCTTTAATGTTTATAGTTTGGCTCCTTGAAGCATTTTATGTTTTGCTTTTTTTATTATAAATAATTTAAATCCGTTGTGATGTCTTTTAATTTAAACTAAAGTTTACTAGAAGCCAACATAAAAATAACTTTTTTGAACAACACCAAAAAGAACTGCTGCATCCCTACAACAACTGATGCAGTATCACAATAGGTTACCAAAAGCAGGTATATTGTTTTCCAGTTGTTGTTTTTTTTTCATACATATCTACTTATCTATATAATACTATAGTACGATTGTTTATATCTCATTGATTTTTTTTTCTTCATCTTTAAGTTTTAATTTTGTTCTTTGAATAAGATTAGTTAAACAAGTCGGCTTTCCATTAAAGATATTGGTTTCAAAATTGAACACCTTTGGCAAAATGCTTAAAAAATTAGGTAGTTTTTAAAAGTATGTTTTCTATTTAATATACTTTTTTTTAAATGTATGTTTTAAATATACTTTTTAAATATACTTTTTTAATATACTTTTCTATAACAATCCTACTAATATGGAATCACGTAGTTTTTTAAATATGTTTAATTGTCGTCCCTATCGGTAATAACTATTTTAAATTATTTGATATGGTTTTCTTTAAATAGGCTATGCTTGGCTCCTTGGTGCTGTAAATGGTGGCTTCAACTTGTTTTTTTATGAAAAATGTGTTTTATATATGCTTTAGTTTTAAAATATTTTTATTGCATATTTAACTATATATCATGTAAACAAATTTCTTTTAAAGATATGTAAACTTGAGACTTCAAAAGTGATTTTCAAAAGTGAACAAAGGTTTAAATATATTTTTTAACTGTCTTATATGGTTTTATCAATTTTATTAAAGCTGAATAATTACTTCAAAAATTTTGAGTAAAATCCATATGCTTTTGTTATTAACCTGATCTATACAAAAATTAATGAAATAAAACTAATAATTTAACGCCAAGTTAAGGCAAAATGTATTCCGGACATTTTTTAAAATAAAATTGATAAGCAGTTTAGAAAAATTTATTATTTCAGTTTTAATAATGCATTACAGAATTACTTTTAATTTGTTATGTTTCTTTGGGCATAATTAAACAAAGAATCATTTTTTTTTTGCAGAAACTGCGAAGTCAAATAAGCATGGTTTATGCAGACATGTGATAGAGATAGCGGAAGAAAAAATAATAATCGTGGGCAGCAAACATCATAAGGTAAACACGATTCAATAACAAGTAGCTCAGCCAATATCAAAACTACTCTATAAATTTTATAGTGAATTTTTTTATTTAAAACTCAATGTGTCAGTTTTTGGTTTTAGCTTAGTGTTTGCAATATGTATATTTAACCGAGAAGTTGTTAAATGTTAAATAAACAAATTTTTATAACTGTATTATACATCCTTTTTTTTCTCTAGAATTTTTCAATGTAGCAATGCAAATCATTTTATTTGTAACAACGATCTAATGTTGCATAAAACGTTAGGCCGATATATAACATACGATATTGGGTCAATGTTGAACACAACGTTAAACCAATTTTGTATACACAACGTTGGGCCAATACATAATCAAAGATCAAACCTGCATTGGGCCAACATCAACATGCATGAAATGCATTGGTCCAACTTTGGTCCAATGTAAGCTTGCTGTCTGGGATATACATATATATATGTATATACATATATATATGTATATACATATATATATATATATATATATATATATATATATATATATATATATATATATATATATATATATATATATATATATATATATATATATATATATATATATATATATATATATATATATATATATATATATATATATATATATAAACACACACATTTACATATTATTTATGCTTAATATAAAATAATAATCATTATGATTGATTAATATGAAATAATAATCATTATGCGTCGAAAAACTAAAATACTCACAATATATTTATAATGGTTAGAAGTAGTCTTAATAAATCCGTATGGAACACTTTCAAACATAAAGGTAACAAAAGGTGGAAAGAAATATTCTACTGTGATATTGTAACCATACCCAATTAACTCAAACGATAAGTTGAGCATATTTCTAAATCGTAAAAAAAAACACTTATATAGCAATTACTTACTTATAAATAAATAAAAGTAGCGAGTTTCGAACTATATTTTTTGATTTTCTTGAGTTTGAAGACGTAATAAAAAATGGTTCTTCTGCATTAAACTTGACACACAAATAAATCAAACCAAATTTATATATATATGTTTCAAAACAAATACTGTAAATGGATATTGAGACAAACCTACTGCTAATTCTACCGCTCACTTTTTATTAATACCTTTAGAAAAAATGCTCATAACCTTTTTGCAAAACGAATTAGCACGTTTATAAATTTGTACTAAATATTAATTTCAGAAAATCATTAAACAAAGTCCAATTTTTTTTAATGAGACTTTAAATAACAGTTATCCCAATAGTTTTTCTACAAAAAGAATTTGTTAACATTAGGGCTTGTTTATATGGTCAAGGGCTAGCCCGTTTGTCTAGCTAGCCTCGAAAATAAGCTAGTTTGAAAATTGCGTTTATATGAACTTTGTCATTTTTTGTGACAAAAAAATTAAAAATTATATTAAGGTTAGCCTGGCTTTTTTAAGAAGGGCTAGCCTCTTTATTGGTAAAATAATAATTTTATATATGGTGGCTATCAACAAAAAAACACATTGCATTTTAACAATATGTTTAACTAATATTATAACACAAATAAAGCTTCTTAAAAGCCTAATATCATTATATAAACTTCACGAATTCAAACTTTATAATTTTTCAACATAATTTTTCTAAGTTAACAATCACGATCACTTCAAAAGATGTAACACGCAAAGGCGAGCCGCCTAAAAAGTAAAAGTTGTAGTTGCAGGTTAAAAACTGGCAGAACTGATTTATGGTTGCGTAATATAATAACTGGTGTAGCTCCCAGTGATGTATAGAAAACAAATTTGAGCCTTTCACGTTTTCTTTTAATGGATTTAGTTTTAGAGTTAAGAATTTATTTTTCTCTTGATCCATTTTCACCTAACTCTAGAACTCTATCAGCAGATAAAAAAGTAGCTATTACTTGATAGATACTGATAAATTACTTGATAGATACTGGATCTATGGAAATGGCTGCAAACAGTTTGGAATTGAAGTAACCACTGCTTCTGCCGTAATAACTGCAGTTTGTTAGACAATATTGAATTATTTTAGGCCTAAGTATCTATTTCTTCCAAAAAATCAAGCTGAAATGCAATATAAAGTTTTAGAGTTTGAAAGTAAATTTGGAATGACACAATTCTTTGGATGCAACAATGGCGCTAATATTTCTATTTGAAAACCATTAAGTAACTCACAAGACTTCTTTTGCTATAAGCGATATTTTTCTCTTAGTGTTCAAGTTTATGGATGTTAAGCACATGTGGCCGGGTAATGTACATGATGCTGAAGTGTTTGCAAATTTAACAATAAATATAAAAATAATAAATGCTATTCTTCCTCAAACGTTTCAAAAACCAATCAAAAAAGGAGTGAAAATAATTATGTTATTATTGATCCAGCCTATCCATTGCTACGATTCTGTATAAAAGAACATGAACATAACTCAAATATTGAGTAGGTAAATTTAAACCACATGCTTAGAGCAGCACGAAATCATAATAAGTGCGCTTTTGGTCGCCTTAAAGCTAGATGGGGTATTTTAGCAAAAATGGTTAATCTAAAACTAGAGGCTGCCCCTACTGTTATTAATGCTTGTTTTGTATTGCATAATATATGTAAAAAAACAAATTGAACTAGATTAACTTGTAAATTACAAACAGATCTCATTAAAAAAAAAAACGAAAAAGAATGCAAAAATGCACTAAACCCATTATATTCTATAAATAAAGCTAAATGATTTGCTATACGAAGAACTTTTACAGATTTGAAATATTATTATTATTATTATGTATATATATATATATATATATATATATATATATATATATATATATATATATATATATATATATATATATATATATATATATATTTATATATATATATATATATATATATATATATATATATATATATATATATATATATATATAATATATATATATATAATTATATAATATATGTTTTTTGACGATATTAAATAAAAACAGCAACATAAATTTTACTACCAAAAGTTTCATGCGTTTAGCAATCATCAGGTAAAAAATACATCGTTTTTTTCGTTAAAAAGAATACTCGTAATAAACACCTTGACGTTCAAAAATAATTATAAAATTGTTACTATTTGCGAGAATGAATTTGTTTATTAATCTTTAGGCTTGTCAAGCAAGAACTTGTTTTCGTGACGGTACTTAGATATTATTTCCGTGTTTTTTTTAACAATTCTTGCGTACCTATGTATGATATTATGCAAAGTTTTTCATGAAGGCAAAGCAAGCCTTTTTTTGTTACGTTGCTGTAGGCGGGGACTTGTTTCAATATTGAACAGGTTAATTTGGGTATATCGTTTGAAAGGGTGCTTAAATTTTTCAATTTTTTGTTTGTGAATGAGTGTTTGTGGTTAGCCTCTCTTCTTTCATTCACCTTTTTCTAGGCCAATATATATTTTTTCTGAATTGTTTAGGATGGGGGGGGGGGGGAGTACTATAATTTTATAAAGAACATTAAAGGCTCTATATTTTTCTCTTTTAATGCAGTTTTCTTTATTTATGCAATTGCAGGGTAGGTAATCTTTTGGTCTTTCTGAACTGTTTTTCTTTTTGTGGCTTTATATTATTCTTTCAATATTTTTGGTACAGGTGCAACTCATTTTGATTGTGTTTCGATTAAATAGTTTACTTAGGGGTGAGATATCTCTGACATTGGTAGAAACGCTTTTATTATACGGGGGTTTGAACCCGCCTTATATTTTTTTTCTCTTTTTTGGGGTTTATACTTTAAATTAAAAGCAGTAAAACCATTTTTTCTTAATTCATCTTCGTATTCTGCTATAGATAAATTAAATGTCTTTTCAATTGAGGAATTTTTTGATAGTCTGTCGTTGTTAGAAATTGGGATTCAGTGTGAATGTAACATACATAGTTGGTTTTTTGAAAGGTTGGTAGAAGTTTTTTTCTAAGTATAAGGATACATCTAAGTAGTTGGCTATGGGTAGGTTTGTTTGAATCTCTATTTTAAAAAAGATTATTTTTATCTCTAATTATGTTTTTTCGTATGCTATCAATTTGTGATCCAATTTTTGCATCATCAGGCCATCGTCACGATATAGTCCAATGTCTTCTTTATTTATTATTTTAGATAGTGAGTCTAATATATATAGGCCCACCAGTTCATAAACTTCTGCACCGTCAAAACAACCCATTGTGACATCATATCAGTGGTGTGCTATGTTTTTCTTCTATGTGTCGTTGTTGAAAAATAACAAGGACTTTCTGTAATGTTTAATAACTCTGATGTTCTCTTTGCTAATACTTGTGTGTTTTTTTGCAAATAGTATTGCATTACTTAGTATTTTGATGTAATAGTGGGGTAAATATTGACAATGTCAAGTTGAGTAATAACGCAATGTTATTATTCAACTTGACATTTTCAAGTTGAATAATAACATTGTTTTTCTGGTTGATTTTCAAACCATTTAATTGCATCAGTGGTATTTTTCAATTGGTTTAAATTTAATGCAGTTCTTATATTTTATTCATAGAATCAAGGTATTTTTTGCTTGTGTGACTAAGTTCAATTTTGGCGGGGCTCAATTGACGGCAGGTCTTAATGTTTTGGAATGATTTTTTGTGGTCTTTTAGTTTAATAAAAGCTTTAGATTTGCGACAACTTTTATTCGTTTGCTTAAGTTGAGTGTGTTTGCTATATTCTTCTATATTCTAGGTAAATTGAGTTTTTGAGATTCTGTGGGGCTTTTTTTATACGCTTTTGTGACATTTTCGTTACAAAGTTTAGTGTGTTCCTGAGTGGAAATTTGATAAATATTATTTGTTTTGTCGGCGAATAATAATACCTTAGGGTTGCTTTTTATATTTAATATGTCTCTTTAAATTACTCTAAAAGTCGCTGTGTATCTTATTAAATTTTATAAGGTTTTACAAATTTAAAAAATCGTTTTCAAAGTTTTCCAATACTTTGCACTGGGGTGGTGTGTTATTTGTTTTGAACGCAAACCTTTCATTTTTTTTTTTGACTGGTTTTATTTAGTTTTGTTTAAATAAAAAAATGTTTTCCAGCAGATTCGCTTGATGAAGTTCTGTTTTTTCTATTTGCAGTTTATATATATATATATATATATATATATATTATATATATATATATATATATATATATATATATATATATATATATATATATATATATATATATATATATATATATATATATATATATATATATATATATATATATATATATATATATTTTACATTTTGAATATAATATTTAAAAAAATGTATGTTGCATTTGCGAATATACATTAGGTTAATGTTGGTATAACTGATTTAGTTTTGATGACTGTTCTTTACCAAATTTTGATCCCATATAAAGATTTTTCTCTTTGTTTTATTAATAAAATCAGACATTTTGAGTGAGAGTTGTCAGCAGTTTAATTTAAAATTGAAATAATAAAATTGAAATTTGATATTAAATTTTAAAAGCAAAATTTTGAGAACACGTAAGGTACCAATTATGAAGTTTTATTTTACGCGGAAGCTCTCAAATTTAAAAAATGTAAAAATTTGGACGCATGCGTAAAAATTTATATAAGAATTTAACTAGCCCGTTTGCCGAGACCTCGGAAAAAAACAGTGAGATCTCTCCATCTGCACTAGCTTGTTTATTCATATAAACGCAAAAAAATATTACGTTGAAATAAGGATTACGTCGATATCTTTGCAAACGGGCTAGCCCAGCAAACAGGCCAGCCCACTTTCCATATAAACAGGCCCTAAGTATCTGATAGTTCAACTTTAACACGGCAAAAAGTTAACTAGAACTGCATCAGCAACGCAGTAGTAAAAATCGTTAAAAACCGTAACTGTAAATACGCATTGGTACATTATGGACAGATTTTACAACAAAAATACCTCAGCTTCAAAACACAAATATCCAATTGATAGAAGTTAATGGCAAAATCAAAAAGTGTAAAAGTTTCAAGTCTATCGCATGTATTATACTTACTATAATGCATACTATAGATTTAAAGCTTTTACATTTAATAATTTTGCCATTACCTTTTATCTACTTGATATATGTGTTTTAGTATAATATACTTTTATTTTTCATGACTCAAAAATTCAAAAACTACTACACAAAAAAAAAAACTACTCAAAAATTTGTTTAGTATTAAACAAACACTGTTCAATTTGAATCTTTACAAAGCTTCTTACCTATTAACTAAGCCATGAATGCAACCATCGATATGAGTGCCTAAATAAAATAATTTATGTATGCGTGCATAAAAAAAGATCTTTTAGAAAAAACCTCTTTTCAGTTTATTTCCGAAGATTTTTGTTTTATATCTAAAATTATACATAAATGCAAAATATATTTTAAATAAAAAATTAAATTTAAACAAAAATCAGTAATATAAATAAAGTTATTTTTTATTTTTATTTAATGCTGCACAAGAAAACTGGACAAGATGTGAGAACAACCAATTAATAGTTTAATTTATATTGTTGCTTGCAAGATTTGAACAAAAATTGCTTACGAAAGTATGAAACTGCGTAGTTTAACTCGAATATATAGGTAAAGTTAAACATTTTTCAAAAATTTTTATATTAACAAGTACATAAGAGTATATGCATATTTAACGTGCAGTTTCTACGTAAATAAACTTTTAAATAAACTTACTGTTTTCATCAATTTGATAGTCAGATGTATTTCCAAACACATACATACCAAACTCATTTTTCGCACCAGCGGTAAACGTATGAATTGTGTAGTTATGCAACAAGTCAATATTAACTGAATTTCCAGAAACATTGTATAACTTGAAATCGCTATTTTTTCCATACTTAACTACAAAACTTTTTGATACATTTTGGATATGAACTGATGCATCAATTACCACAACGACCGAATATCTGGTTAACCGACGAATCGTTTTTACGTTTAAATCTTAAAAATTTTAATGATAGTATTTGTAATAAAACATTATATATAAAAACATACCATTAAATAAAGTTATTTTTTTATATGATAATAAAACGAATTTTAATTTTTTTAATCAGTGTTGATAAACAACGTAAATCTTCTTGCCTCCACTTTTCTTGCGCAGCAAACGGCTGCTGCCTCCCGATCAATATTAAGCGGCAAAATATTCTTTCTTCCGCCTCTAGTGGTTTCCGCTTTTCTATTGGCGGCCGCAGCCGGAGTTCATTTTTGGAGGCAAATTGTTTTGGAGGCCGACGCCAATAGAGTGGGGGAAGCCAATGGTGGCCGCCTCCAGAAGAAATTTTGGAGGCAAAGCCATTTAGTGGCCGCCTCCAATGGCTTCTTCCTCCTAACTGGCTGCGGCCGTCAAATTGGAGGCGGAAATATTTGCTTATCGCCGGCGAATGTAATGAAAAATAATTGCTCGTTGGCTTCAAAGCAAATAAATATTAACTAGAAACAAATGTTAAATACTTGACATCAAAGTTTTATTTTATATTATTTATTGATTATTTAAAATATTTATTGAAAAAAAATTATAACTTTGTCAGAGCGGTTGTTAATCTACTATTATCGAATAAATTAGTAATTTTTATTTCAAAACAAATATTAAAAATTAAAAACTTTGTTTACGAGCCTTAAGCGAAAAAAAAAATTTATGACAAATAATTAAAGTTTTATATCGTTTGATATTTTGTCCCCCTTACGTCACGCTAAAACTTTAATTTTCGACCATAACATTAAATTATTAATTATAGTCATTATATGTTGTAAAAATATTTGAAATATGATACGTTAAAAATTGATGGGGAGGCCGCCGTCTACAGCTTCCGCCTCCTTAAAAAGTCGGCCTTTCGGCAGAAAGTTACTTTGCCGCCGGGCGGCATTATCAACTCTGGTTTTAATACAACAAAATAATTCTTTGGATGTTTTTCAATTTTTTTAATTTTTTTTTTTGTGCCATTGTTATAACTAAAGAAATATTGAAAATAAATTTTGTTTTAACAAAATATGCAAAAGTGGGAGCAGGCTATAATAAATTGAAAAACAATAAAAGCAAACATGAAAAATGTTTTTAACATTAAACATATTTCCAAATGAATCCATAAAACAAAGAGTTGCCTCTATCGTATTCTAAAAATATTACACTAACAAAAATTATAAAAAAATTAATTTTTAAAAGTTGAGTAAAATTAAGATAAAACATTATTTTTTAAAAATTCTCAAAAATTTCATATAATCGATTTTTAAAAACTAAACTCAAAAATCTGAAGAGTTTATTTGTCTAAAACACCATTAAATTTCTTCAACACATGCCTTTCCCGTTTCTGAATATTAAGAATTAAGATGATTGTAGAACTTAACGCTCTAAATAATTACATTAGCAATTTTATTAGCATATAACAGTTCATGTACCTGAAAAGTAACCGTAGTCAACAATGCTTGTCAAAACATCTTTATCCTCATTGCGTAGCTGCAATGTGCTATCCCAAGGTGTTTCTTAAACTTATGGAAATTCCAAACTTTTTAATAACATTTGTATCTTAGAGAGAATTTATTTTGAGAAAACTATTTAATTTTTGTCCAATTTTTTAAATACTAATTTAATGTCGAATTTAATTGTTAGAGAAACCGTTACAATGGATAGTCATGTTTTCTTAGAATTTTTATAAAAATAAATTTAGGAACTGTAAAATACATTTAGATAGAGTCGGAACTTTTTATACTAAAATTGGTTGCAACTATGATCAAGCAAACTTTTTATTAATATGTTAGCCACGAAAATGTAAGAAAACCATGCGCGCGTGAGAACATGAGTTTTATTGAATTCTAAAAACAATTTATTTAAAAAAGAGAAAAACCACTTCTAAAAACGTAGCACCTATAGTATCAATGCCAATAAAAAAAGAGGCCCAAGACTTCTATAGCCTGATATAAATATTATTGTTACAAAATTCATATATATATTTTTTAAACTACTAGTAAATATTATCAGTACAAAATTAAAATTTATAATATGCTTGAAATTTCTACTTTCCTCGTGTACATTAAAATGATATGTAAAACTTTGACAGATGTTTCAGAAAAGCTGAGTTTAGAATTTAGTATATCAATAATTCTCTGCAGCCTATTCAAACAATGTCTAACTTTGCCTACTTTTTCACACTTTTGCAAAATCTCTTTCGCACCAAAACGGAGAAAATGAAGTTGAGTTATAATCCAGCTGTAATAGTTTTGATTGATTCAAATACTATAACTGTCAAAAATAACTATGTAAATATTAATTTTGGAGTAAATTTATTTTCTACATTTAAATCTCCGAAAAAAAGGTTCAGTAAGTTCCATAGATTTTACAAAAATGAAAATATCTGGATCTAGAATTACATAAAATGTCTGTTTTTCAAAGTTTTAATTAACACTAAAAATATTTAAACGAGAAAATTAAAATTTATTTGATGAAGATTTTTTGAGTTCTTTAAGAAAAATAGTGCCTTCATCGAGCCTAAAGTAAGGAGAGCTGAGTTTATTTTTGTTAAAAGATGATACTGAATAAATTTACATTTATTTTTATTTTTTACTAAAGTGCTCAAAAACGTTTGAGTATAGTCAATATTAGTAACTTGGTTTTGGTATAACTCTGAACCTATTTTTTGGTTGCTAGTGGCTATTTGCAAAAAAATTTAAAAGCATTGCCATTTTTTATCTTATAACGAAACTTTACTTTTTCTTCCTCGGTTCTTTTTTGTTATTTAAGTTAATGTTCCTCTCCTTCTTTGCTTGGGTCATGCTTAGTTGTCTTTTTAGTTGTCTTTTATTTCTTCAAAAAAAAACGAACAGAAACACAATAATCCACATAATCCACAAATAATCCTTTTTAATAATAAAATAACCCTAATAATTTTTTATTATGTATTAGTTATTTATTAGCTATTATTTGGTACTATTTAATTATTAGATACGTATTTTGAAATCTTCTCACAAACTACATTTGTTATTTTCTTATTGTATGTATTTCTTTCTTTTCATTAGTTCTGTATTTTTGATTTGGCTATAGGTGAAATATAAAATTTACTATAAATTTAGTTTTTATGATTTTTTTTTTTTATTTTTTTTTTTTGTCATTGTTATGTAAAGTTACTAATTTTATGCCATAACACAAAATACAACAACAGCAAAAAAAAAAAAATCATGTCTAATAAAAAAAGTATTTATTGGGACATTGTGTGTTATCAAAAATCTAAATATTACCAACTAGTAAGGTATTGCATAATCACAATATTATCAAACACCATTTTTTTTTTTTTTTTTTTTTTTTTTTTGTGCTGTTTCATATATTTACAATAAACACATATTACATTTATAAAAATTGGCCGGACAAGAAAAAGACAATGAATGTCTCATCACAGAGCGCCGTTTACAAATTATCCGTGTTTATTAACTAATATGAATAAAATATATTTAAAAAAACGTTAAAGAGTACATAATTTTTGGTCAAATAATAAAATGACAATTATATTAACAATTTGAAAATAAAGAAAGTTTTGTATACTAATACAAATATATTTGATACATATAACAAAATATATTTAGTGCTAATGGAAGCGTTTTTTCTATTTTAAAGTTACCTTTTAAAAAAATATTTACAGTCTATTGAATTAAAATCTGATTGAAGTAAGATTCTTTTAGAAACCGTTTTAAATTTTGCTAAAGAGTAGTGTTCTTTATTAAAGTTTTTAATAAAATTTTACCATAAAAAAGGTCCTCGATATTGAATTCGATAAGAACCTATTTTTAAATTCATTCTTGGAACAATAAAGTTATTTTCTGAAAACTTTGTTGGATATTTATGAGATATTTCGCTAAAATAAGATAAAAAAATAAAATATAAGTGAGATATTTCGCTAAAATAAGATAAAAATAAGAAATATAAGTGGAGATATTCCATGTTTCATTTTAAACATGAAAAGTAATGTTTAGTAAATGTTTATTTTATAAATGTTTAAGGCCTTGAAACAATTTAATAGCGGTTTGCAATAACCAGTTCTGTTTGCTCCAAATACAATCCTACAAGCATGCTTTTGTTTACTATGAAGTTTTTTGAGTTTTCTGTAATTCGTTTTTCCCAATGCCATGTTGCAGTAAGAAAGATAACTGTGAATAAATGAAAAAAAGGTTATCATTAGAGCTTTTGCCTTTAAAAATGGTTTTGTTTTATAAAGTACGTAAATATTATTAGAGATTTTACTTTCAATTGATTAGATGTGAAACTTCCGTAACAAGGTTTCATCAAGAATTACGCCTAAAAAGTTAACAGTAGATTCCCTTTTTACATCAATTTTATTGAATAAAAGATATGGCAGTTTAAGTGGAATATTATCAACTTTGGAACAGGATGAATTTAGTTTTATCTGCATTTAGTGAAAGGCGGTTACTAATAAACCATTCATTTACTTTAGATAATTCTTCGTTAAAAATTTTAAAAAGAATTTTTATATCTCTGTGTGAATAAAACAGATTGGAATCGTCAGCAAACAATATAAGATATAATTTTTTAAATGCTAAAAATAAGTCATTTATATACACTAGAAACAATATTTTCTATTAGTCAAGTAGTTTTTAAACCAAAGTAAGTTTAAATTGTTTACTCCATAAAGTTCTAATTTTTTATAAGGATTTCATGATTGACAGTGTCAAATGCTTTAGAAAAATCAATGAAAACTCCTAAGGTAAAATAATCTTTATCAAAAGCATCCGATACATGGTTTACAAGCTCAATTACCGCGTGATCCGTAAAATGATTTTTTTTTAAACCCAAATTGTTTGTTGTACAGAATATTATTTGATACTAAATGATTATAAAGCCTATTGTACATAATGCGTTCTAGCAATTTAGAGAAACAAGGTAATACAGAAATAGGTCTGTAGTTTGAAACATTTTTTTTTTCACCTAACTTAAAAATCGG